GATGATAGAATTTGAGAGTCCTAGGAGGACAGAAAATGTATGATGGAGCCAAATAGTATAATAGTATACCTGGTGTCTGTTAGCTTTTTTAAAAAATAGACTATTTTTTTAGATCAGCTTTAGGTTCACAGCAGAGTTGAGTGGAGTTCTCCTATACCCCCTCTCTCTGCACAAAGCACAGCTTCCCTCACTGTCAGCACCCTCCCACCAGAGTACACTGTCATTATCACCTAGTAACCATGTGTCATTTTCACCCAAAGTCCATAGTTTACGGTTGGTGTTGTGCATTCTGTGGGTTTTGACAAATGTATGACATGTATCCACCATTGTAGCATTAATAATACACAGAATAGTTTCACTGTCCTAAAAATCCTCTAGGCTCTGCTTGTTATTCATCTATCCTAGCTTAGTTTTTGGATGTGAACTTATTTATGTTCTTTCTTTGTAGAGATTTTCAGTTTTATTAAATCAATGCATCTTATGTATGTTCACCATCATTTTGTAACTTTTACACAATATTCTGCAAGATAGAAATAGATTTTATTTGTTTTGGGGTTTTTTTGGAGACAGGGTCTCACTCTGTAGCCTAGGCTTGAGGGCAGTGGCATCATCATAGCTCACTGCAACCTGAAACTCTTGGGCTCAAGCGATCCTCCTGCCTCAGCCTCCTGAGTAGCTGGGGCTACAGGTGCATGCCACCACTCCTGGCTGATTTTTCTATTTTTTGTTGAAACAGGCATCTCGCTATGTTGCCTAGCCTGGTCTTGGACTTTTGACCTCAAGCAGTCCTCCTGCTTTGGCCTCCCAAAGTGCTAGGATTACAGGCGTGAGCCACATTGCCCAGCCTAGAAATACATTTTAAATAAAGTAAAATTAATTCAGGGTTTATTTTGAATTAATTATCAGATTGTTTTTAATATTTATCTTTTTTTTTTTTTTTTTTTTTTGAGACAGAGTCTCACTCTGTTGCTGGAGTAGAGTGCCGTGGCATCAGCCTAGCTCACAGCAACCTCAAACTCCTGGGCTGGAGCAATCCTACTGCCTCAGCCTCCCGAGTAGCTAGGACTACAGACATTAGCCACCATGCCCGGCTAATTATTTCTATATAGATTTTTAGTTGTCCAAATAATTTCTTTCTATTTTTAGTAGAGACGGGGTCTCGCTCTTGCTCAGGCTGGTCTCGGAACTCCTGACCTTGAGCGATCCGCCCGCCTCAGCCTCCTAGATTGCTAGGATTACAGGCGTGAGCCACCGCGCCCGGCCTGAATATTTATCTTATTTAAAAAGTTTAAAAATTTTAAGTTGCATTCATTACAATTTAAGGTTCTTGGTGGATAAGTGAAAGAAATTGTAAATGACCTGGTACTTAAGACTTAAGGTCAGAAAGTCATCTAAGTAGCTTTCCAAGAATCTCAAGAGATGCTAATCTGAGGTAGAAAAGGTTTCTCTTATCAACTCTCAGGGGAGAACAGTTGACGGGGTTCTACGTTTTAAATTGTGGTGAGAATCACACAGATTTTCTGACCTTTTACTCATAGCTCTCTATCTGTAACAGCTTTAAGTCATCAAAAGAAATCTGAACTTGAGCTTGGAGGAGTTGAGAAGGGAGAAACTTTAATTTTGTTTTTAAGCAGAACATACAATTCTGGAGAACACAAACTTACACTTTCTGTATTTTCCAACGACCACGACGGTAAATTCTGGGGACCATATTTACAAGTGTTGCATTCTTAGAAGCAGTTTTATGACTGTTGTGAAAAATGTTACTTCTCCTCCCAAATGATACATATCTCCTCCTGTCTTCTCATATTGAATAGTCGTTCTGTCTTGGTTAAACGTTTTTGGACACTATTGGAATAATTTTTTGTCCTTTTAAAAAAAATCTTTTGACTTTTAAAATTAGTATAGTTGGGATCTCTTATTTTAATATAAAAACGAGAGATTAATTCTCATACAAGTCATTTTGATCTAAAGGATTTTTTAAATTCTGATGTAAGGTTTTTAGAGAAACTTTCCTTTCTTTTGAGCAGACTTTTTAGAGCTGAAGCCTTTTCTTCTAACTTAGTTTTTCACTGTCAGAGACCATTTGGGTATGTTCCCAATGTGGTTGAGTTACTGCATCTAAAGGTGATTTTGGCTTTCGTAATCTCCATGTTCCAGTTTGTCTGAGGCAACCAGACAAACTTTACATAAGAACAAATTGCTACCTCCAGGCTCTGTAGCCAGACTTCACTTGCAGCAGGAGACTTAACCGTATAGTGTGCTGGTGAAGTAACTGGAGCTTTAAATAGTTCCTGGCTCTTGAAATAAGGACAGCATGATTTAGGGGAAAGGCCAGAACTTGATCTCAGTGGCCTTCGGCACGCTAGCCTCTCCTCCTCACAGCGGAGACAGTTGCCAGGTGCACCGTAGGGTGTCTGGTCTGTGCTGTCTGCACATTCAGTGACATCTGACAGACTTGTGGCAGGAGCGCCCAAGGCCTCAGGGTGTTTCACAGCCAGTCAGGGAGTGTTTTTCAGGCTGTGTGATGCTAAGGGTCATGGATGTACGGTAGCTAAGAAAGTTTCAGTTTAGAATAGGGAAGAGGATGAAATGGAGAAGAGACACTTGATACAGGAAGATACGCTAGGGGATTATTTCGCAAGAAATGTAAGATTCCTCTCCTGTGGTGGGAACTAAAGTGAAGGAAAATTGTCCAAGCTATTCTCAAAAGCAATTGCTCACATTTCTGTGGTGCTTTACTGTACCAAGAACACTTTATGATTCCTCTGATACAGCTGTGTAATAAACTTAACCAAAGAGGCAGAAATCCCTGTTTTGTAGATAAGAAAACCAAGACCCAGAGAATGAAGTGGCTTGCCCCCCGGGTCACTTAGCAAACAGCAGGCCGGGGAAAGCCCAGTCTCCTGGGTTATTTGTATGTATATGTAATCAGAACTCAGCAGGAGTGAGGGGTGAGAAATAGTCACTGTATAAAGAATCGGACATGAGATGAGATCAGGAGATGTGATGTTTGCACAAGTGGGTGGCAGAGGAGCTTGTGGAGAAAAAACATCTTTCTTGGTTCCCTTGGGCTCTGAATTCCGGTCATACCAAAACACTGTTCTTTCCCGCTCTTCAGTCATGTCTGGGAGAAGTTTCGTTCTCTAGCATTATAATGGAGAATCAGTAGTGGATAGCAGAAGGTTAACTTTTTAAAAAGGAGGCCAAATGTGGTGGCTTGCGCCTGTCTGTAGTCTCAGCTACTCGGGGAGGAGTTCAAGACCAGCCTGGACAATATGGTGAGACCCACGTCTCTTAAAAAGGCTACCGGGTGGTGGGGAGAGAAAAACTAATCTGTTTAGGAAGTATTTGAGTATATACCATTTGCTGATCAATTCATTCAAAAAATGAATAGCTTGCAATAAACTTATGATTTGGTTTGTGTTCTCATTTAATTATCTTGGAGTATAGGCTATTGGAAGTAGTGACTTTAACCAGTTTCATCAAACATATATACCCCCCCATTTATAAAAGTGGAATATATACTGAATGTAAATTATTCAAACATAGGAAGAAGTCTCTTGGTAGGGCCCCCCCCAATAGTTTAGCATATCTTGTTAAATTGTCATCTCCCTACCCTTCATGATGTTACACAGATGCCGTGGTCCGTCTACATAGGAACATTGAGTACCCAAAGGAGAGAGAGTAGCCAGTTGATGTGAGGCGGGGAGAGGAGAGATGGGGAAGATTCCACATAGGAAGAGTTCCTATGTTCCACATAGAAACACTGTGGAGAATGTTCTAGTCAGGAGCAAAGCGGACAGATGGACAGAAGTATGAAGTTTTTTCCAATTAGTTTGCCATGACCAGTGCATAGGTATGTGGGAGGATGCAGACTGGGAAATATCTGGTCTTCTGTAAGATTTATAAAATCAGGAATGACCTGAGATTCCTGATGTTGTATTAGCTGTTGGCTTAATATACAAAAATTTAGACACAATAGAAGCCATAGTTAATTGGACAGATAATGGTCTGTGACCTCAGAATAGGAAGAAAAGTAAGAGCTCTATCTTCCTTGTGAAATAATCTATTTCATGTGCTCAGATACTTAATGGAATAGTATATGGCTCTGATATTATAGAAATCGGGTAAATTAAATAAATGTATAATGTTAAGTGTTGAGTGGCTGAATTTCTTTATTATCAGCAGTTGTTTGGTAGTCATAAAAATAGAGAACATTGGTTCGATGTTGCTTTAGCTTCCTCATTGATAAGTCTTTGGGATGATGAAGACAGAAACTATAGAAATGCCTGTATCAAAAGAGCATTAATTCCTGTTGCTCTCCTCAGCTCATAAGTGCTGTGCTTGGCTCTCCTTTCTTTCGTGTTGCTAAGTGTATTCAGCCAGATGGTGCCACCAATAACATGTTCCCCAGGTCACTAAAATATCACAGTGCTCAGGCTCAATTCCATGCCCCTAATTCTGACTTTGTTTCTGAGGTTTGTAATTCACAAATCTTAGCATATGAGCAGAAAAGCCTCCTTGTTTCTCAGGAGTAAACTTGAAGTTGACTCAGTGTACTCTCACCCAGAAGGGATGGGATTGAGTTTGTAAGACAGGGCAGGATGAGGAGGAATCTGTCATTCATTCTGTTTTACTAAAAAGTTGCTGAGATATGTAAGCCATTTGTACTTAAAGTCCCTAGGATTGGTATGTGTGCAGTGTTACGTGAGAGAACTGATGGCCTTTTGCAGTTGAGACCAAAACTTAGCATCTGAGACCTGGACTTGACAGTTCTTTCACGGAACATTGCGTGATAGCCTACGTCCTTTTCTAGCGAGGAAGCTGGGGTTCAGACACCGTTGATCAGCTGCGTCGTTTTCTCTTCTTTGTGCTTGGTCCACCCCATCCCCTTTCCCTGCACCCACACAGCACAACTCTCTGCTAATCACTTTAATCAGCTGATAGATCCGTTGCGTTTTAGTGGCCTGACAATTTTTATTCTTTCCTCCTAACAGGTGACAGAGCTGAATGAGCCACTGTCCAATGAAGAACGAAACCTTCTCTCAGTGGCTTACAAGAATGTTGTTGGGGCACGCCGTTCTTCCTGGAGGGTCATTAGTAGCATTGAGCAGAAGACATCTGCAGATGGCAACGAGAAGAAGATAGAGATGGTCCGTGCTTACCGCGAGAAAATAGAGAAGGAGCTGGAAGCAGTGTGTCAGGATGTGCTGAGCCTGCTGGATAACTACCTGATCAAGAATTGCAGCGAGACCCAGTACGAGAGCAAAGTGTTTTACCTGAAGATGAAAGGGGACTATTACCGCTACCTGGCCGAAGTAGCCACTGGAGAGAAACGGGCGACTGTCGTGGAGTCCTCTGAGAAGGCCTATAGCGAAGCCCATGAGATCAGCAAGGAGCACATGCAGCCCACCCACCCCATCAGGTTAGGCCTGGCTCTTAACTACTCCGTTTTCTACTACGAGATCCAGAATGCCCCGGAGCAAGCATGCCACTTGGCCAAGACCGCTTTCGATGACGCCATCGCTGAGCTCGACACTCTCAACGAGGACTCCTACAAGGACTCTACTCTCATCATGCAGCTCCTCCGCGACAACCTAACGCTCTGGACAAGCGATCAGCAAGACGACGATGGTGGAGAAGGCAACAATTAAGGCCCCCAGGTGGACTGGCAGCGCACGCTGATGCTACTACTGCAGTCTTTATTTTTTTCCCATGAGTTGGGGGTCGGGTGGGGGAGGGAAAGGGAGGGATGACCTTCCCAGGGAGAAACCCACGACCTGTCCTGTCTTTGATCGCCTCTTTGACATTTTTGCCAAAATACCACTAGTGGAAAGTCAGGCTAGCTGTGCTGGAATTGGAATAGCAGCCTCACACTGGCGTATGGACTGTTCTGTAGATTAATGCAAGTGGAGCTGTCTGTCTCTAATTTAACTTATTGCTAGATAATAGGGTTTTAAGATGAAAAGAAAACTTAAATGGAATGGCCCTCATTCAGTAAGTTCTGTGGTTCCAGTAAGGATTTTTATGTACATATGCTCGTGTCTTAAGTTCTGAGTACTTTCTATCTCATCTGTTTTAGCTGTGCATTTTTTCCAGGGTGTACTCCACCAGACATGGAACAGTTTAAATCCCAAACTGACAGACTTAGAACGTAAGGTATATTCACCCTTATGGTTTAGGCCTTGCCGGTTTCTGAAGTCTCTGATTAGTCGACAGTATTAACACTAAATTGCAGTTTACAGTATTTCTACATTACAGCCATATGTGACATCAAGCCATTGATGTGTATTTTTCTTTGCTAGTTATTTTGGCTTTACATCCTTATTCAGCCTTATCCAGGTTGGTTTTGCTGTCTCTGTCTCCTAGGCTAAAAGACTTGCCTGAGGAGAATCAAAGCTACTTTAGGTTTTGGTTAATAGGTGCTTGGCAGGTGGCTGTGGGCTTTTTGTCCTTTTTTCTTCTTAACTTAAATCCACCACAAAAGTAATTAACCATTTTACTAGAAATGCTAAACTCCACAAAAATAGAGAAAATTCAGGTCTGTATGTCATTTATCGTGTTGGTATTTTCCGAGAATATCCTGCTTTCGAAGCTGCCACAGCTCCTTCCTCAGGGATCACACTGTCGTTCCCGCTTCACTTGGGTCTTTCCCACTGTACCTCGCGCTGGTGGCGAGCAGTCGGGTCGAGAGGCCGCGGATGGCGGAAGCTGGGTGGTCGTTTTGAGAAGGTTCGTGGTGCAGCGTGTGAAAATTCAGGTGCTAGAAGCTTACTGGTAGAAAAATCCAAAAGGAAGAGCTATATTCATAAACATTCTGTCAAATTTCAGGAGCCTTGTAAGTATGTCGGTTTTTCCTCCCTGAAAATACTACTTTCCCAAGTAATTATTGTAGGAAGATAAACTAAAACCGTTACCGGGTAATAAATACTTAGTTCCTACTTGACCAAAACTTCTTCTATTTTTTTTCTTTTTAATGAAAGCACAGAAACTGGAGATTGACTTCTCTCTTGTGCAGTCAGTGCAGATTTTGGAATTGACGGAAATTACATTGCTGTTTCCACACATTTGTTTTTAGTTAGTCTTAGGGGTACCTCATTCTCATTTTGGATAAATCTGTCTATCTGTAAACATGACCTGCTACATGTGTGTTCAGGTTCTTTTTTGGTTTTGTTTTGTTTTTTTAAATAAAATCAGTAGCAGTGAGAAATCCCAAGATGGTAATGACCCCAGACTTGTTTTTGTTTGTTCTTTTATTTAGGCAAGGAGAGGTGTGAGTAATAATGGAGGAAAAACTGACAGATCCTTTTGCTAACACCAAAATTGAGCTGACAATTATGAACTGAGTATGTGTAACAGGATACAGGTGACAGTGAAGATAGAAGACTGGTGATGACCATAGACTCAGTATGCTCTGTAACATTGCACAGTTTACCCAGCATGACTTTCCTTAGAAGGCCCCCTCCTGATGCTAGAGCGGAAGTCCTAACTAACTGAAGCCTACCGGAAGAGCTAATTGAAGAAAGCTTTGCCGATTTGGGGAGGGGGGCGGGTAGGTGGGGCTTTCCCTAACTTATCTTCATGTCCAGTGAGCAGTGTTGTGTCCTTCCTTGTAGCATTTGGAAATGATTTACTGGAATTACAAAACCTATTTTTCCTTTAAATTTCAGCTTTGGCTCTGGCTGCTTTTTAGAATAATGCAAGATCAAATCATACCTGAGGGCTAAAAATGACGAGGGAATGGGAGACTTGATATTTAAGCAGCTTGAATGGTTTCTTTTCTTTTCTTTATTTTAAAAGAAATGCACTTGCCTATGATACTGTCTCTCCAGTGAAATGATTACGCCTCCATTACTCCACTGATACAATATTGTGCATGCTAGTGTTGTATTTCTATACAGTAGCTTGAAATTTATTAACTTATACTGTAGGTGTTATGTATTCCTATGACAAAAAAAAATTAAGTCTTCAAATTTTTTAAAGTTTTTTTTTTTAATTTAATTTTTCCTTTTGGGGGTAAAGTTTGCTCTACCAAATAGTGATTGTAACAAATTGATTTGTTTTGGATGTTGCTATAGTGACATGCAGTTATATATTTTGTTTTTAAAAGGGGGGGAGCAAAAGAAACACCAGTGTTAGCTTAATCTTAATGTCTGGTGTTTGTCATGGTGAAATTATAACTATTACAGTGTAGGAGAACAACGAATATGTTCTCTGAATGAGCCTTTGTGCTTTTTGTCATGTTATGCAGTGAACTATTTTTAAGGTCTAATCAGTGATTATTTTTCCAACTCCGTGTTTCTCTAAGGAATTATTTCACACACGGACCATTCTTAGCAGTTTTCCTCAGTGATGGAATATCATGAATGTGAGTCATTATGTAGCTGTCGTACATTGAGCAAATAAACTTACAGATCTGATGTCAGTGCTGCTTAGTTTTATTTAATGAGTTTAACTTGCCCTTTGCATTTGAAGGCTTGATCAGACATTGGTGTTCTACCTTAATTCCCTCCCCAAGGAGTGAGATTGGGTTGGGGGAAGGGGCGAGACAGTATATACTGGAAAGCTCTTACATCCGGGAATGAGACTTGGGTTTGGTGACTTAAAAAATCATTGCACTTTTTGGGCCTCCACTTTTCTCTTACAAAATGAGCCTATACAGCTGGATCTCTGAGCGCCTTCCTGGGGTGCAGCTGGTGAGAAACACAGACCTGAATTTGAATCCTAGCCCTTCGGGGTCTTTGGGCAAATGACCAAAGTTCTGAGCCTGGGTTGGGGGCGAGTGTAGGTTTAAATGAAAACTGGATCATGTGCCTGGGTCAGTACCTGTCAATTAGGTTCCCAGTATTCTCGGAGATTTCATTGAGTCTTAGATGAAGTGGTTCATTGCACTTAAAAATATTCAAAAATAAATTGTCTTGGATTTTTTTTAGACCTTCCAAAGTGGTCGGTGGCTTTAGGTGGGGTGGCCTGAGCTCTCAGCAGCCTGCTGTTGCTGAAGGCAGCTGTGGCAGAATGTGCCCCTGATGGGAGTCATGTCACTGGGTTGTGGGGCATGTTCTGTCGTGACTAACCAAAGAGGGGTTTATCTACAGGCAGGAACGCCGGGTGAATGCTCTCCTCACATCAGCTGGTGCATGCTTTGGCAAAAGGGCAGGGGCATTGGTTCACATGGTGCAGGAAGAAAGCTTTTTCATTTTCTGAGAAATTTGAATTACATTTGGGGAATGACAGCACTGTGTGAATAGGCCGTCACCATTTGCTAAATGGGTTCACCTATGTTAACTCACTTGTCCCCAGAACTACCCTGAGAGTGCCACTGCAAGTGTGGCTGTGGAGCTGGAAGTGACTGATAGGCCTGAGCTCCTACACTCACTCATAACCCAAATCTTCAGCCCGGAGTCTGGTCGGCTAACACCAGACTGCTTCTGCACAGCTGGGAGACTAAAAACTGCGTGGCCGCCGCCAACCAATCAGCACAATTGAGCTCTAGTGAGGCAGTCACTGAGGATCGGAAAATGATCAGAACGGTCAAGCTTGTTCAAACAAGGTCACTGAGGGAGAAAGATGGGAGAGCTCCTAAAACTTGCTGCTCTTATACCCTTGTCCCTTCAGTGTAACCTCCCATTACAGGGACAGGAGTAGCATTATTTTACTGTTTTGCAGATCTCTTGGTAGAGTCATCTGGACTCTTCACAGCTGTACCCATCCAGTCTCTGCTGTGATGTGCTGTCTGAGTTGAAATGCTGGAAAGAATCTGTTATCACACAGATAAGTAATTGGAACAGAATGGCCCTAAAGAATTGAGGCTGAATGCCCAAAGTAGAAGAAAGTTAAGAAAATTCTCATACTGCATGAATTAAATTAGTGTTCTGGCTTAGGCACCAATGGGAGAGGAGGCCTCTTCCTCCGTGCACTCCAGAATTTTAAAAATAACTGATAGTGTGAAACAAAATAAAGGTGATAGGGGTAGGGCCGTGAATATTCCACTCCGCTTGGCATCGTGGAGCAGAGTTATTTATTCCAAGAACTTTGGGGGTGGAGTGAGAGGCCATAAATGAGGTCATTCAGTGGCAGGGGACCTTCTAGTACAGCAAATACGTTGCTGTTAGTACGAGTGCAGTTTCCCGCGCTCTATTTATGTGCGATTACCACATGCGTTGGCCTTTGCACTGGTCAGCTGAAACTGCGTATTGACTCACACTGGGTGATCTGAGTGGCTAAGAATGGCAGCTACCTCCTGGTGCATAGTTCTCAAAGCAAGCTTGGAGAAACAGCCCTCCGAACACTAGGTAACACTGTTCTCTATTTCCAGGAGTTGACATTAAGCGGTCATTAGCCTAATCAGAACATTAAAATGCGTTCCAGCTTGCTAATGAGCCTGCTGGCTTGAATTTTCTAATTCTGGTGTAGGTGGATGTGGTTAAATCTGAATGGCCACAGTCCTGCCTCTCATTAACCATAGATAGTGTGATCAGTGAGGAGTTAGGGCTAGAGTGGCTGGGTCACACTGACAAGACAAATGAATCAAGACTTCCCAGATTAAGTAAGGTACTGACTTGGCACTCCATTACCATAGCATTGGAAAGTCCATGTTACGATATGGAAGGTTATTTTGGTTTTTATTTTTTGAATTGGCAGTGCATATGTGTGTTGCAAAATACAAAAGAGTGTAGTCTAAACCTTTTTTGGGGGAGGGGGGACAGTCTTGCTTTGTTGCCCTGGCTAGAGTGCAGTGGCATTACCATAGCTCACAGCAACCTCACACTCCTGGGCTCAGGCGATCCTCCTGCTTCAGCAGCTTGGACTACAGGTACACGCTGCCACGCCCAGCTAATTTTTCTATTTTTTGTAGAGACGGGGGGGGGGGGGGTCTCACTTTTGCTCCAGCTGGTCTCGAACTCCTGACCTCAAGCAATCCTGCCTGGGCCTCCCAAGTGCTAGGATTATAGGCATGTGCCCGGCCAGTCTAAAGCTTTTGTATTGTTTCCGAGCTAAGAATGGTTTTTACATTCTTGTAAAGAAAAAGTGTGAGGAAGTAGCATGTGGCCCACAAAGCTTAAAATATTTACTGTGGCTAGTAGTTTACTGACCCTGGTTTATCAGTAACTTTCCCCACTATGCCTGTGACCTGCCACCCATTCTTGGCCCTTCTGAAGGGTAACCACACTGTCCTTTGTTCTTCCTGATCTGGCTCTGTTTGAGATAAGATTTTTGCTGCTTTTGAGCACTGACATGACTTGAGTCATAAAAGGATTGCCTTGTGATTTTAAATATGGAAAATTAAAATTTGGTGGTCCCATATATACGAATACATCTTGAATTAGAATATTTAACCCCACTTAAAGTGTAGCTAGGAGGTATTGGGGCCCTTTATTCCCAACCTTTGATTTTGACAAATGGCAAACACAAAAGTTGACAAGAGCAGTACAGTGATAACTACATACCCACTACTCGGTACAGCAAGTAAATTTATGTGTTGTGAAACCTTGGAAGTAAGCAAGAGATTAGGCTACTTGACAGTCTTATAGAATGTCCCCCATTCTGGGTTTGTCCAGTTATTTTCTCCTGCGTCATTTAGCTTGTTTCCCATTCCTGTTGGGGCGCCTTTTTGTCTTGCATAGGATTTTGCTCTATCCTCCATCTGGCCTTGTCACTGGTTCACGTGGTGCTGTTTAGCAGCAGCCAGCACCAGGGCCTGTTACCTAAGCAGACAAGGCCAAAGCTGCCACTCAGAATGACAGACCAGAGAGACGGGCCACCATCCAGGGGAACCATGTTGTTTTTTGGATTGGAATCTTCTAGGCTTGGGTGCTTTGCTTCCTCACCATCCTCTCCTGCCTCCCCTGGATGGAAAGAGTACAGTATTAGGTAGGTTCTCAGTAAGCACTTGCTTTGATTAGCAAACTGCCCCACACATGCACCCTGGCCTGTTGAGTCCTGGTGGTCTGCAGCCCACCTTGTTCACAGCAGTTATCTCAGGAACAGGCAAGTGTGTGTGTGAAGTTGCCTTCATTTCGGATCTACACTAGGGGAATCACAACTTTGGTGCTGAGCTGGTCCCATCATGATGGACAAATTACCCTGCTACTTTACTGGCTTTTAGATGGGGGTGAGAAGAGCCGTCAAAGCCCTCTACCTCTTTTTACTCTTAACCTGAAGCCAGATTTTAGGGGTGGGGTTTCAGTGGTTGTCAGTTCTTTAAACCCAGAGGGAGCAGCTCATTTGGGATTCCCTTAGGTTTATCAAAGCAACGTGCCTTCCTAAATCCTTGCCTTCCAAAAGATGGATTTTTTTTCTATTGTGGTTTACAGGGCTTTTTTTCCTGCTAAGTTTGAAAACTAAAACATTCCTTGCTAGGAATGTTGTGGCCCCTCAGTGATGAGTTCTAGGTTGGAGAGGGTTGAGTAGTGGGCAGACTAAGTGAAAAATATTCTCTTGCCCTAAAACAGATCACATCCGAAATAGAGACAAGATAAGCTTAGGAAATAAAGACTGGGTAAACGGTATAAAGGAGGTGGCAGTTTATGACTGGCTGCAAGCATTTTGGGTGAGTCCTTTTCCACGTAATCTCCCTAAATGTCGTCCAGATCCCTAAGGTCAAACACGCTACATCCCAGTGCTGGGCAGAAGCAAAGAGTAATTAATCATTTCTCTCCGTGGTATAGTAGGACTTAGGTTTCTTTTTGCCTAGTGGTGACAGTGCCAAAATGAAACTGGGTAGGTACAAAACAACAAAACAGCCTTGGCCCAATCCCTCAGGGCCTCGGCACTCAAGGATGCACCAGCGACCACTGGTCTGGCTGCCCCTACCCCTCTACGTGGTCTACAAAATGCTGCAGTGATGCTGATTTGCAGGGCTCCGGAGTTGGGAGGGGGATTCCGCACCTACTGGTCCACATCTGCACCCCCACCCCACCTAGCGGATCCTGCGGGCCCGTCCTCTGCTGCTCCCCAGTGGCGGCTCCTGGCTCTGCAGCCGGCCCTCCCAAGAGCGGCCCCTTCCTCCTGCCGGGCCCCAGGATTCAGCCCGACTCCGCCTCCTTCAAGCCTTCACGCCACCTGGCTGGGCCCAGATCCCGGACGGCAGCAGAGCCCTCGAGCCCAGGCATCCCCGGCTCCACGAATCTGGAGCTCCATCCTCGGGCCTCCCCCTGGGCACCTCCCTTCCGCAAATGCCTGGGCTCCGGCCGAGGGATTTTGCAGCCTGCATTCCCCGCGACGGCCGGATTCACCTAGGCCAGCCGTGCAGCCCCCACCCCCTCGGGCTCCTCGACGGAAACACCAGGGCCTGAGGCAGCCCAGAGGCCCGGATGTGGGCCGGGCGGGGCCGCGGCTCTGTCTGCAGCCCCGCCCCGTGAGGCACCGCCTTCCGGCGCAGATACGGCGAGGGCCAATCACAGGCCAGTCTGTACCCGCT